AAGACTCGAGAGATGAACTAATCAATTCTCTTTCCGGCTCAGACTGCATTGGTTAAAGCGTATGGGGCTGTCACGTGATGAAGGAACGACTCAAACCCGAAGACTCGAGATGAACTAATCAATTCTCTTTCTGGCTCAGACTGCATTGGTTAAGTTTATGGGGCTGTCGCGTGATGAATGAACGACTCAAACCTGAAGACTTGTCAGATAAGAGGTGAGGTGAGCTAATCATAGACTGAAGACCCAGGTAAACAATTAATCTTTTCTGTTTCTTATTGCAGTTTTGTATTGTTTGTAGTGTGATCAACGTTTGCGTAAGTAGTAGACGTGTTAGGGAAGTAACACGTAAAATTTTAATTATATTTTGCTAAAATGAACGAAATGACTCGAAAAAAGATTCGTTCATTTTGCTGAACGAGACTCAAAGATCCGAGTCGGTAAAATAATCCGAACTTCCCATCACTAACGCACGCCCCCTCGTGACGCAACGTTACGACGCAACATGTGACAAGTTCGTCCACGGTCCACCCATAGGTCACTTGAGTTCAGTCATTGATTGTGTTGAATAATAACTTTCTTCGTTGCGGTTAACTGCGAACAAATATCTACCTTAATTTTAATAGCATACAGTGGCTAAGGTGCCGTTTCTGCTTAACGGAGAAAAACAAAATATGTTCTTTGCGATATATGTATTTATTATACTTTCCCAAAGTTTTTAAATGCCCGCATAAGTCAGAATAACCTCAAAATAAACAGTTATTTCTCATAACTGGCTAAATGTATGCTGCTGTACTCTTGTTATCCTGTAAAATTATGATGATGCAACTGCTGCAGCGGATTTCAGATAGCTCGGCAATACAACATGCTAGTGTAATACTTACCATAAACGGTAACGTTGTAAATCTTGTTTTCGAGCCGCTTGTTGCTGTGTTTGCGAACCTTGTAAAGCCCCGTTTGATTGTCGCCGACATTCATCAGGATCAGAGTAACATTCTCTCTATCAGATATCAGAGAAACTCCGGGTCTCCAGCACTCGTGCTCACAGACTCCGTTATGACAGATTAACTGCGCTATCCGTTCCTGTGAGGAGCCTTTGAGACGGCTCACCAAAACCTGAGGATCTTCGTCCCATTCCTCAATGTGGATAGAGATGGTGAGGTTTCCTCCTTCAGGCACCGTACGTGACTCAGTCTCATCATCATCTTCACCAGCGGCAGCAACCGCAGCACCAAAAGCAATGCCTTTAAAAAGTATTCATTGTAAATATATATATATATATATATATATACACACACTGTGCGAGTAAAGCTGACTCATCCTCAAATCAAATGTAACAAGTAAGCTATAAATTAACCCATGAGAGTAACTTCTGCTCAGACCGGCACAAAACTTACCAATCCAACACGTTACTACAATGAGGAGTATCATATTCGGTATCTTGGAAAACAACTTGATGTTGTTGTATAACTTAACCGGATAAATTCTATCTTAGTCTTTTACTAACGCGAATTACCCAACTCGCGTGGCGCTGGCAAGTACTGCTTCAAACTCACCACGCCCACAAACATCACACCACCACAGACACAACCAGGGCTGCGTTCAGCCCCGACAAAAACGGTGCAAAACATGTTTTAAACGGAAACGGTGGTGCGTTGAACACTGTTCTGATGACGCAAGAGTTGCAGCTACGGCAGCTGAGAAGGCCATTCTTTGTGTTCTTTTTGAAGAATTTTCGGAGCCTGATGAAATCGGTATAAATACGTGTTTAATACTGCAAAATACGCTCGATGGTACAGTGTTTTTGGAGTAAGATCAATTTCTCTTTCACGAGATTAGGCTTACTTCCTCTTTTTGGCCGGGTTTCATTTCTCCGTGTTGTAAACTCTAGGGGCTAGGCTTCTAAACCAGGGTGTTTTTAGGGGCGTGATATTCAAATGGCCATTGTTTTTTGCCGCCACATTTATCAACGTGCGATCATGCGTACGATGAGATTGGCAGCATACGAATGTTTCATGAATCACACGTGAACTCTGTCGTAAGTTGATTTTTATTTTGAACTGATTAAATATAGGCAAGCGGTTCATTGTTTAAGCTTAAACCAGACAAACAGCATTTCTTACAAAGTGTTTTCACACTAGAGCTTTTGGTGCAGACGTAAGTCTACTTCTGGGCAGAGTTTGGTTTATTTGGTATGAATGTTTTCTTCTAAACTCAAAACCAAGTCTGCTTGAAAAGGTGGGCTTGTTCATGAATCTTGAAGTGCAATATTCAACTTTCAAGCATGCTTCTGGTCGTAATAGTAAATTGCATTTCTCATAGCTACATGGCTCTGAATAGTCTGTAATATAGATATTTATTTCAACTGTCTTTGTATCAGAGTATTTGATAATTGTTCCCTAAATGTATTTATTCAGACTCTCAATAGCTTCCTCTTGAGAGTATTTTCTCCATTCATCTGGGATCTTGCCATGCCTCTGATAGGTTTTTTTATAGTGATTTTCCAGATCTGTTTGGAATCTGCACACAAACCACTTCCAGTACGGCAGCTCAGAGAGATCTGGGGTGATGCTCCATGAAGCATATTTAGGACCTCCTTTTCTGTATTCCTTCCAGGGGACTTTGACATCATCTGAGCTATTTGGATAAAAAGATTGATCACTGGTTACTGCTGATGTGCAGATGTTGATAGCTAGGTTTGTTGTTCCTCTGTAAAACCACCCATTCAATCCATTATTACGATGGAAAGGCACACTGTGATCTCCAGGATGGTTTTCTATTGTGTTTGTGCAGATGGCTGCACAGAAAGGACACTGAACCCAACAGCAATGACAGAAGTGAACAATCAGAATCTCATCTGGTCTGTCTTTGTGTTCCAGCTTTACTGGAAAAGTTGCTGTGCTGAATTTACTGATTATGTCAGTTATTATGGAAGGAAGTTCTGTCTTCATCACATCTTCTAGGAAGCTGACTTCAACATCATCCTGATTCACTCCAGTGAGGTCATTTACAGAGAATACCAGCACACCAGAGAGCTGTCGAGTGAAATGATGCAACCACAAATCAGCATTAGCCTGTTTGGCAGGTTCATGTGCTGCTTCTGTGATCTGTTGCTCCAGCAGTTTAATGCTGTTTTCCATCTTGGGTCGAACACTATCTTCAAATCTTTCAGTGATGTACTGACTGACTTCATCTCTGATGAAATTCTTGAAGTGTTCTTTGGGATTGTTAATGTAGGTCAGGTATGCGCCGAAGTCCTGTTTTTCTGCCAGTGTTTTCAGGATGTGTTTCTCCAGGTTTGATCGGTTCCCATTTAGAGATTCACAGTTTGTCCTCATTTCATCTGCTAAATCTCTAGCAGTTTTTGTTTTTGATGATGCTCCTTGACAGTATTTCTGGAATATGCTGTAGTACTCTTCACGCTTTCTATTAAAATAGAGAACTGGATCATTGGTTTCCCGGAACAGTTTGTATTGATCTGTGAATGTCTTATTTGTTTTATGGCATATGCAAAGTACCAGATCCATGAAGAATTCACTCTTGAACACATATTTCACTTTTGGCCCATTTTCATGCTGCGTTAATCTTGTCTTTATGCAATCCACCAGTTGTTGAATGCAACTATTGTTGTAGCCCATCTTTGCAATGTTATATGACTGAATCATTTTATCTGTCTGCTCAGCAATGTCTCTGATTAAGGCTCTTATCTGGATTTCATCATCTTCAGATAAAGTATAATGTAAACCAAGCTTCTCTTTAGCTCCTTTGTACACATTTTTTAAATATCCTTTAAATCCCCCGGATTTCTTTAACTGTACATATTCTGAGTAGCTTGGCAAACAGATCATATCTTTGTAGTTACTGCTATCTTTCATATGGTCTAAAGGGAGACTTTCATAAGACTCACTGAGGAGATTCTTCATGTCTCTTAATATGTCAATATGTTTGACTAAAGGAGTGTCTCTGATGATCGCAGCCGTCTGTTGTCTCCAAAAGGAATCAAACTGTGTTTTCATGACATTTTCATCATTTGCTTTTCCTTTCAACTTTAAGGCAAGTTCTTTGCTGTTTTCAAAGAGAGTGTTTTCATGATGTGTCCTCTCAGCATCCATCTTTTTCTTCATGTGACGCTGCTGAAGAACTCCATTTAACTTCCTCTTTGTTTCCCTCACAATGTTTTCTTGAACCTCTTTGATTTTTATCTCAAATGAAGCTTTCCACTGATTCAGTATACCCGCATCTCTGTCTTTCTCAAAGAAATCAGACATTGTCTTTTTCACTTCTTCACTTTTTGCTTTTAGTTCTCTTTGAAGGTCAATTTGCTCAGCATTATGAATTTCTTCATTTTCTATTTTGTTGTGAAGCTTGTTTTCGATTTCCAGCATGGCACTTCGAAGACTCCAGGTCCACTTGCTGTATTCAGTCTCTAGTTTCTTGTATGTCATGATTTCCAGGGAATTTTTGAAGCTGAACACAAATTGTTCATTAAGCAAAGCCTCCCAGAGATCTTGAATGCGGGCTTTTAGGTCGGTCAGCATTATGCCGTCTGATTTTGAAGCATGTGTTAGAATAGTTTCCTTCAGTTCTAGAATGTTCTCGCAGTAGTTTGGGTCTGGTGGAGCCATGGGTGGGCTGCCCTCCCAGACCTGAGCAAAATACTTCACATCATTCTGGATATCAAACGCAATCACATCACTGAAACCTTCTGCATCACAGACTTCTTCTATAGCAGCGAGTTCTGTCACATTGTCCAGTTTGTCCTGCAGTCGTCTCCTTCCCTCCATGTTTTTCTCTCCAGCTGTAATATCTGAGACATTCTGATGCACAAACATGCAGCTTGGATTCAGTCTGACCATCTTCATCCGCAGGAAAGCCTGAACCACAATCTGAAGAATGTCCTGCATCTCAGATAGGTTTTCTCCAAATATATTGATCAGGGTCATATTTCCAAGACCAACAACAAATGTGGCCATTTCATTGTCACGATGTGTTGTTGACCTTCCAACCAGTTCTTGTGCACGAAGTCCTTCAGTATCAACAACCAGAATATAGTTAAACTTCAGCTCTGTTTTCATCTCCTCTGATACTTTGATCAGCTGCATGAAAGCTCCTCTGGTGCACCTGCCAGCACTGACGGCAAACTGGAGTCCAAACATGGCATTCAGCATGGTGGATTTCCCAGAACTCTGAATCCCTAATATTGACAGCACAAAGAGTTTCTGGTCTCCCAGTTTCTTAACAAGTTCATCTAGAACAGCAGTGACCCAGGTGAGAGGAATATGAGAAGCATCTCCATCCATCAGCTCCATGGGAAATCCCGAGATCATCATCTCTGCTGCAAGACGTGGGAGAGAACAGAAGTCAAACTGCAGACCTTCCTTGATCTTCTTCACAGATGACCATGATTCATAAATCTGACCAAACTCTCTCAGGATGTGCTCCAAGCCAAAACTTGTCATATTAATTTGCTCTGATATGTTTTCCAGGTTTGTTTGTTCAGTCTGCAGTTGAACTATATTGTCAGGCATCTTTTTCAATGATAAGACATCTTGCCATTTCTTGCGATACTCCTTATGAAGTCCACAGAGCTTTTCTGAAGTGAAGTCATTCAACAGGTTCATCATCCATCTAAGGAAATAGTTTTTTTCATTGTCTCTCTGTGATTTCATTATTTCAATACATTTCCTCATAAACTCACTCAGTCCCTTTGTTACTTGCTTTTCTCTTATATCTCTCATAATCATCTGTTTGGTGCTTTTATCTTCCTCTAGATTTTCTCCTTGTAGATGATGCAGCTCTTTGTTCATTTTACACCAGTCATGCCACAGTTTCCCCTGACAGGGCAGGATTGTTTCTTTCACTGTTGATGGATCTTTTCCTCTCAGTAAACCCATGATCTGATCTGCTGCCTGTTTCCCTCTCTGACACTCTGGATCATCCTCATCTACTCTGATTCCTGTGTGTTCGGCCACATCTTCAAGCTTGAAGCTCTTTTTTTGCTTGGTCAAACTCTCCCTGATAGTCTCCCTAATCTGATTAGATATATCAGATTGGTTTTTGTCCAAAAGACCAATTATGAATTTTCCATTCCCCAGCTCAGTTTTATCACAGTTATTGTCAGTGAGCAGACAAAGGAGAGGCTGAGGAGACCTGAAGAGTGATCTCACCAGACACTTGTAGTGGTTCTTCTGTCCAAAATCAGGTAAGAAGAGGACATTTACTGAAGCCATACTGGTCAAAATGTCATATTGTTTCTCATTCTCTCCTGCATCACCATGAAGATTACAGAAAGCAACACAGTCATCAAATGCGTCTGTCTTTTTCCCAGGACAGTACCAGGCGATCTCCACCACTCCATCCATCAGTAATCTGGTTCTGCTGCCGCCTGAGCAGTTCCTGTGGAAGAACGTGTTGTGTTTCTCATTGATGAGGCTGTTCATCAGCTGAGACTTAGATGAAGATACAGAGCCAAACCTGAAGAAAGCCACCATTGGAGTCTCAGTCTTGTAGACCGGCTGGGTTTGACTGATGATCTCATTGTTGCTGTTCTTCATCTTCCAGCTCTTGTTGATTTGTCTAAATGTCCAGAGAGGAAACTCAATCTGTTGTGTGAATGGATCAGGAACAAGCAGAGGCAGTGCATACTGACACTGTGAGAGTTTAGTCACCATCATCTGCTTCAGGAAACCATCAGCCCAATGATACACGGCCATCTGAACATCCATTGGGTGAATATCAGGGCTGTAATTTGCACCGTCTTCTTTACCCTCTTTCTTTGTGTGTTTTATGACAGTATATCTTGCTCTGTAGTTCATGTTTAGCAGCTTTTGTAGGAATGAGTTTACAAGTTCATTCTCTTCCTGTGGTTCCTGAGACTGAAATGATGATCTGGTGATTTCCAGAATGTCGGCTGTTTTCATTTTACCTTGTCGTCTTTTTGTCAGATCTAGTCTATCATAGAGTCCTTCGAGTTGTTCATTGGTTTTTGGTCCAACCTTTTGGATTTGACTAGTTTCATCTTTCTGTAAATACATTAAGACATTAATATATCAAATCTAATTTGCTATAGTGTCACATTAGCAGAGCTAAAAGCCCAATATACACAGATTAGAAAAAAAGAAATATTATAAAGAACTATGGTAATCATATAGATAAAAAAAATGTGCAGGAAGCATTTTAAGAATATAAACAAAATTCAGTTAATTTATAACCCCATCCTTTGAAAGGGATGAAAATGTAATTTTCCGTGGTGTATTTGCAAGTCAAGTGTTGTATATCTGTAGTATTGTCCATATACAGGACAAATTGTGAATGAGGGAAGACCATTAGACCACTATAGGAATTAGTACTCAACTCTTAATGGTTATAGAACCTCTAAATCCCATAAATGTCCCTGACTCTTGTCATTATTCACATTGATCACTTACCTGTAGAGAAGAGGCTGTTTGGGAGCAGCACATTTTCATGTTCTCCATGTCTTTTCTTCTGTCTTCTTCATAGTCTGCTGATTTTAGTCTCATTAGTTCATCTTGTTTCTGTTGTTCTAATAACTTCATCTCTTTTATTTCTACTTCATGTTTGGTCTGAAGATCTGCTTTTTCTGTTTTGATTTCATCTCTCTCTTCTTTAAGTCTCTGGTAACTTTCATTCCACATTTGTTGTTCTTTCTCCCTCCTTTTCTCAAATTCTTCTTCTGTCCTCTGTTTTTCCTCTTGTATCTTTTTCTCCCATTTCTCCTGTTCATTTTTCATGTCTGTTTTGCACTGTTCTTCATTCTTTCTTAATTCATCTTTTCTTCTCTTCCTCTCTGCATCATGATTCTGCCCTTCTTCCTCCATCATCTTCTTCATCTTTTCTATTTCTGATTCAAGTTTGTCTTGAAGACATTCTTTATCTCTTTTTATTTTCTCCTTCTCTCTTTTGATTTCATCTCTTTCTTCTTTGAGTCTCTGATAAGATTCATCCCATATATTTTGTTCTTTCTTCCTCTTTTTCTCACATTCTTCTTCTCTTCTCTTCTTCTCTGCATCATGATTATTTATTTCTTCCTCCATCATCTTCTTCATTCTCTCTTTCTCTTCTTCATGTTTGGCCAGGAGTTCTTCTCTCTTTTGGTTCAGTTCCTCCACTTCATCCATTATCATCTTCATTTGTGCTTCTTGTTTTTCTCTTTCCATCTGTCTGAACATCTTACATGTGTAGTAACTATCTCCATTTGCTGTCACCATGTCATTGATTTTCTTCAGTAGTTCAGACACCTGCATGCGGTCTCCAGTCTCATTATTATTGAACACATGGTATCTATTTCCACACTGTTCGATGAGCTTCATCAAATCAGAATCAGGTTTTCCCAGATATTCTTCAATGGTCTTCTTCTTCAGATCATCTCCTCTGGTGAAGAGCACCATGGTGTACATTAAGGAGTTTTCACCAAAAGTCTCTTTAATGATCTTCACAGTGTTTTCCTCCTCCTGAGTGAAACGGCTCACTGGTATCAGTAAGAGAAACACATGCGGTCCTGGCAGAATCATTGAGATGCACTCAGTGATTTCTCTCTGGATCTCTTCTCGACTGAACTTAGTATCAAACAGTCCTGGAGTGTCAATTACAGTAATTTGTCTGCCATCGATTTCAGCCGTCTCTCTCTGGCACTCTTTAGTGACTGACTCTTGTGACACATCGTCTTTAAAACATTTTTTTCCTAAAATGGTGTTTCCAGTTGCACTCTTTCCAACTCCAGTTTTTCCCAGCAGGACAATCCTCACTTCATCTGAAGCCTCTACTGAATCTGAAAAACAGAAACTGCTTGAGTCATGCTGCTAGAAATGCAGTCCTTTAAAGTCCTTTCCTACAAACATTTAGGAGCAATTTGTCTGAATTATTACTAATAACATTTGAATTTGAATTATATGTGAATTAATTATGTGACATCATTATTTGAATGTTTAATTGTGTGGCATGAAGAAAATTTCACGCATCATCCCTATCAATTTCCTGAAATTTTTACTAATACTTCTCCAAACTAACATTTCTTTATGGTCTGCTGAAACTGATTTTAAACTCTGTGTGGTGGGTGATGTGATCTGAATCCAAACAATTCCTAATGCATCTAAATATTTCGGCAACTGTGTAGGGTTATCTTTGGTAAGCACCATAACTTAGGTGGACCATAACCAAATTCTGCTTTAAGATTCTGCAAAGCCATAAAGTCACTGCAGATAAAATGAAAAGGTCATTTTTAGGTCTGAGTATGCCACAGCCTCTCCTGGTCTTTTGGAGAGTGTCTGAGCAATGGTCTGTCTGAGATTATGTGCCCCTGTTCCAGTAATGAATGTCCCCATAACTACTCCTTGGTCCACATGTTTATCATTTAAAGTGGGTTTGAGACATACACACTTTCAGATCATTACCTTTTTGCTGGGTCTGTGTGTCTAATGAGATTACTTTCTTCCTCATTCCTTCAATTTTCTCTATTTGTGCATCCAAAAATGTTTCTGTGGAGAAACAAATTCTACTATTTTCTTCCACCATCTGCTCCAGTTTAGTCACCAACATGGACAGCTTTGGGTTTGGCTCAAGGAAATGATGCCTTCCCCCAAAACGCTCAATGACAGACTTAATTTCTTCATTCAGTTCCTCTGTCTCATTCTCTGACTTCTGGATTATGAGGACCATGGTGTGGTTGTTGATGTTTGAGCTGAATATTTTCTGGATCTCCTCTGTTTCTGTTTTGTCTTCATCAGTAAGCGCACCATCAGAAACAATGAAGAGGAACACATGAACTCCAGGATCACAGAGAGACACACAGCGCAGAGTCTGACGCATCACTTCCTTCTCTGAGAGCTGAGTAAGAGCTGGAAGCTCCACCAGAGTGATCAGACGTCCATGAACTTCCCCCTCCAGCTTCACACACTCTCTGAGCTCTGATCTGCTGTCTCTCTGGTTCAGGATGAGGTTTGATGTGGAGGATTTTAAAGTTCTGTCACTCCCACACAGAACCACATTCAGCTTTGATAACACGTTGACATTCTCTGCCACTGAAAAACACACAGCATTAGTTTGGTGGGTCAGTTACATGAGTTTTTCATATGTTTCAAACTATTTTTATTGATTAGCATTTATCAATCACATCTACAATAACTATTAATGAATCCTTAACAATCATTTTATAATGTGTAACAGCAATTTAGTTAAGTTCATTGAAATATGAATTATATTAAATAAGTTTTCATCCAGATCTATCAATGTATAGTCAATAATAGTTTATCAAAGTTTTTTCAGTTAATTTATTTCCAAATCTCCCATAACTGTTTCTTTCCTTATTAATAGATACTATAACTTTATATATACTATACTTTTTATTTCCCAATTGATTATGCAGTAAAATAAAAAATTAAAAGAGTTCAGTAAATGAGGTGCTGTACACATAAAATGATCATACAATTTTTGTATTATCATTTATCATTATATAATCTTTATTTGTCTTTCTCTTGAAGTAGGTGATGTGTAGGTGTAGGTGTAAACTATGGTTCTCAAATACATTGCCAACAAAATATACACAAGCTATTCCTTTGGACAGCAACTTCCTTTTTCTCTTTGTTGCTCTTGTTGATTGCTTCATCATCTTTGTAATCAAAATCACCCTCTTCTTCTGCTGCTACTGAACCTCCAGATCTGCTCTGCTCTTCATCCTCTGATGTTCCTTCTGCTTCCTCATACAAGTCACAAATAAGAAAATGATCCCCTTCTTTCTTGAGTATCTTCTCCATTCTTTCAAGTATCTCAGAATGCCATCCTGACTTTTGTTCATCAAACTGAAGATGTCCACCTCCACATTCCTTTATTAACTGATGAATACAGTTATTGTTTATCTCTTCTTCATTAGTCAACACCATAGTGTGCGTAATAGCCTCCTCACTGAATTCATTCAGCACATACTTCACTCTGTTTCTGCTCTTCTTGCTTAAGTCATTCTGCTGCAGTACAAGTATGATCACATGAGGTCCAGGAGCAGACAGATTCACACACTCTTTCACTCCATGTGTGATCTGAGAGTTGGACAGATTTGTGTGCAGCAGGTGAGGAGCGTTGATGACTGTGATGTCTCTGTCCTCCAGTTTTCCTCTTTCTTTCTTAATGTGCAGTTTTGCATCTGCTGGTGGTGCTTCACTCTTAAATGCTGCTCTTCCTAAGATGAAGTTTCCCACTCTGCTGTTTTCTGTTGGATTCTTCCCCAGCAGAACAATCCTCAAATCACTCACTGAAACACACAACACAAATAACAGTAATACACTCAAACAAGTGAGCCATAAGCAAAGATGACAGATTTTAAACTGCATACTTCAAGACCAGCCGAGTAACTGACCTCCCCTTGTTTGGATTTGGTAAATCGTTTAATGATATAGCCATGCTTTATAGGGGTTATTAACAGTTCTGTGATTGTAAATTTGGACACTTCTAAAAGATTTGACATCTATCATGGAGTTAGACATGCTGTCCGATCTCCCCATTTCTGTTTCTTTTAGCCACAGAGTTACTTTACCTGGGCTGCGTTTCCCAAATCCTTCTGAATGCTACATTGTTCTTAAGTTATATCTTAAGCTGTACCTTATCGTTAATACATGTTTCCCAAAATGTTCTTAGTTAAGTATACCTTCTGTAAGTCATACTTTCGTAAGGTTGGTTACTGTTGACAGTTGACAGTTCATACGTCTCAGTCTATATAAATATAATTCTGAAGTTGTAATACACCCAGTTTTCAATTAGGCTAACTGAAGTGTTTTCATCCAAATAATACAATTGTCATTAGACTGATGGTTGTTAGCTTTTTTTTATTATCCAAAGGTACATCAGCTGGCAAACCATTAGGCAGTAAAGGCTTAGGAGTCTATTTAAAGGGAATGATTGTGGTGGGGAGTTTGGTCAAACTATGGCAGCGATACAGCGAATAGTTGTGTTAAATCAAAGATGGTGCCGTCCACAGAGCCATAAATGTACATTAAAACTTTAATCTCCTGGCTACCATGTCAGCAGCTGCACACACACAAAAAAAAAACGCCTGCCAGGCAGCAAATTCAGGAGCTTTTAGATCTTGTTGGTCCGACTTTGTCAAGACAAACTTGACGAAGCTACTCCCTCTGCCCCGAAATTCAGCTGCTGTCCTCTCTTCTTTCTCCTCTTTCTCTCTTTCTTCACCGCCATAATAGCTTTTGATTATACGTTTTGCTTGTTGCACTTTTATTGAGTAGGACATCCAATAACAGAAATGAGTGATTTACACCAGTAATGTGCTGCAGCTGCTGGGCAATCAACCCTGGGTGTGGAGTAAATTAAGACACTGGAAAATATATTATGATAAAAATTACCCTTTCAAAGGCCAGTCAAGGCATACTGCCAGTGATACTTATGATACGTTTGGGCATGAGGTTGCGGGTTCGTGCACTCATTTCAAAATTATATAAAATATCCAGGGTTGGATTTAGTTTGAAATTTGGATTAATTTTATAAGAACCCCTGAGTCCTGATAAATGCAATTTCAGCTATTTCTGAAGTGCTTCTGGTCCACTCTTACCAGAATGTTTTTCATTGTTTTTTGTTTTTTGTTTGTTTTTTTAAAGCTGTTAAAAGCTGTTAAATTATTATTCCGAGTCTCATGTACTGTAAAAATTGCACTGTAAAATACTGGCAGCTGTGGTTGCCAGCATTAAGGAGGTGACTTGAAAGGAGGTTAATTGTGGCCAAGTATGGTGATCCATACTCAGAATTTGTGCTCTGCATTTCACCCATCAGGTTTTTTACCTGGGTGGGCATATATTTTTCTTTCTTGATTTTCTTCACTGACGTGATGTATGTTGTAAATCGAAAGTAAAAGTTTCACACAGCTTGTTGCGTTCTAACAAGAAAAAGTTCTGTGTCTTTATTTAAAATAAACATTCTTTTATAAAGAGCACCGCTTTCTCACATAACGCATGGAAGCAGCCCCTGCATAGAGTGAATGACCTATTCTTAAGCCATTAATAAGCTCAACCAGATCAGGACCACCGCCATGGACAGCACCTGGTAACGTCGCACTATACTAAAAGTTATAGTTCAGGGAACAAGCCTAGAAAAGGTATACCTTTAGTTATGATATAGCCTACCTTTAATCTTCGTAGCGCGCTAAGAGACAATGTTATCGGAAAATGCACCCCAGAGGTTAAAATTGCAAGGAGGTTAAAAGGAGGTTAAAACTGTGCAGCTAGCCGATGACACCACATTGTTTTTAGAGGATAAAAGGCAGTTACCTAATGCTTTGCAATTTTCATGTGGCTCTGGTCTAAAAGTTAATACTTCGAAATGTGAAATTATTTCAGTTCATAATATGGATAGCACATCTTTAGAAAATATGAAAAACATTTTAAAATATTTGGGTATTTATATTACTAAAAACTAGGGATGTAACGATATCAAAATCTCACGATACGATATTATTACGATATGAAGTCCACGATACGATATTTATTGCTATATTTAAAAAGAAAAAAATACAAATGAAGAATTGGGAAAAATGAAAATTGTGTACATTTTAAAGTTAAATTATTCTATCTAATGCACTTTGAGAGTTCAAAATTAGGAGCTCCAACCCATGTTTCTTAACTAAGAAAACTTAAGTGAGAAAAAAGTCTGAACTTTAAAGGGGACTCAACCCTCTTTTTATTTGTGATATACTGTCTCAGTCTAAATTACATTCACACTGGTGTTTTAGGAAGCCAAACAAATTAGAATAGACTAAAAATAATAACAACAATGACAGCAGTAGCGATATATTGTAAAACAATTGCGCTGTAAAATAAATAAAAATTAATATTTCATAGGTAGCTATTATTATTTTTGCTTTACACTACAGCAGGGAAATTACAATACATATTTCCTAATTTCTACACTTGAAAGAGAATTCGGACTGCAGTAAAGTTACCCATTTAAACCGCTAGCTGTCAGTTCATACTGCACTTTTAAGCTTTTATTTTGACGGAAACGGCAGTTTAGCTTTTAATTGAGAAGCCCCTGTCTGCACCCTACAGATCGGGGCGGGGCGACACGTGCAGCCCCGCCCCATACCTACTCTGATTGGTTCGATAGTCTTTCATAGGCATACATAATAGGAAATGTGTGCGTAGTTGGTGATTTCTATCATTTCTTTCCCAAAAAAAAAACAAAAAAAATCTACTGACTCCTGACTCCTGACTCCTGAAGCTTTTATTTCAGATAAATGCTGATCTTTGGAACTTTCTGTTCATTAAAGAATCCCGAAAACTGTTTAACTGTTTTAAATTTTGATAAAAATAATAATAATAAATGTTTCTTGAGCAGCAAATCAGCATATTAGAATGATTAAGCTACTTCTGTAAAAAACAAAAAATATTACTGTTCAAAAACTTTTGACGAGTAGTGTATGCATGTATGTATCACACTCATATCACATCTAGTTGTTTTGGATAAGAATAAAACGTCAGGTCCGACAATATCGTGTCTTTTTTTAATTTAAATCTAGATTTATTTGCATTGGCCCATGGAAACCTCTATGAACACACTTGACTTGATTTGGCCAAAAAAGCGAGAGGGGACAAATTTACGTTTTATTAAAAAGTATTTACGTATTCTACACTCATGGCGCACACACACATCAGGATAGGTTAGATGCCTGCCTCCGTTGCGAGTCCCTATCAAGCACTTTCACATTCAACTACTCTCCTCTCCTCCTCCTGCCTGGCTCTTTGGCCTGCATCACTCACCGCAGAGCAAGCCTGTTCTGGATAAATCTGCTGTGAAAACGTGGGAAAAGCCAACGAGGAATAAGTTTTAAATGATACACCTGGAAAAACGCGTATTTACGTATTTGAATGCATTGTACAAAGGCTACTGGAAATAAACTTACAATGAAAAATACACATTAAGGGGCATAAGACATTTGAATCTTAATAGAGGAACTCAATATTTATTGTACAAATGAACTCCGCGATGTAATAAATCGTATGTTTGACAGCAACATACTGTTAATTAATTCAATATCGTTCTGCCGTTAAGTGCGTGTGTCACGCAATCTACATTATGCAGCGACACCCAGCGGCAGGTGTCAGTCACTACCGAAGGTGCGACACGCACCGCGGCAACTGACACAAGACGCAGTCCATTGACATGTGTCACAGGTGGCAGGCGTCAGTCACCGCAGGTGCCACACAGCGACACGCACCGCTGCAATGTCAGTGACACAGGACGCAGTCCATTGACATGTGTCACAGGTTTTAGTGACACATGCATGCCACTGTCCACTGACACATGCCACTGAAAACCGGAAGTGCCACCGGAAGTCACTGTGCGTCAGATGTCATGTCACTTATGCTGTGTTCGAAATGCCATACTATCATACTACTCTTACTATTTCTGCAGTATCCAGTATGTATGCTGTGCATGGTATGCAAATTTTCTGTATGCATGGAATACCCGGATGACCTAATATATTTGCGTCGATTTGGCTAAACATTTCCTTGTGATTTGGCTCCCACACTGCTGCTTTGGTGATTTACTTTCATAAATAAGTATAATAGCTTAATTCCCTTTGGCAGGGTTCACAAAGAAGGGAAAGGAAGTAAACAGAAAGATTTGTAGTGAGGTCAGCCAAACCTATTTCCAGTGCTTGGGATAAAGTAAACTTAACACTATTT